GAAATACATTGTCAGGTTTTAAATCATTCCCTAAAAGTGCTATATAAATGGAGGTGTCAGTAAATCTAAGAGTTTCTTAGCTCTTCAACAAAATAGCAAGCTCTCTGAGGGTAGGGAGTCTATCTCATCATTCTTTTTTTTTTTTATTTTTTTTTATTTTATTTTTTTTATCTCATCATTCTTGTGTCCCATTGTGTAGCATAATGCCAGGCACAGACAGAAGATACTTGATAAATATTTGATAAATTAATGCATGAAGGCAATGAATGAATTCCCAAGGCTGAGATTTCACGTGTTTCATATTGTCTACTTTTAGGCTATCTTTCTGTCTCAATTTGGTGTTGCATTTGCAACCAAATACTATCATATAAAATGGAATAAAAATGCTGATATTTAAGAAAACCATCCATATGGTCTTTAATAATTCCAAGAGCCAAGAAGAAAACAGAGTGGGGAAATTGGCAAGAGCACACTTATGTATTTATATATTGTTTGTGTTTTAGATTGAAAATGCTGATTTCTTGGTGTAGGCTATGCTGCTGTAATTTGGAGGTTAATGCATGTGCAATTTCTCCGAAAAGAGCTCTTCAGAGTCTCAAAATAAGGAAATAAGTAGCTTTCTTTGTCTTTGATCAGAAGATTCTTGAAAATGCAAAATACAATTGTTTAAAGAGGAAAAAATAAATGTTTTTCATCAAGTGAGGGACATTTGGATTTTGTAAATCCCAAATCATTTTGTAAATCAAAGATAGACCCATTTATTTTAAAGGCAAGCTCTTGGAAAAAGTCTTAGGAGTTAATAATCCAGTTAATGTAGTAATTCTAAAGCCCATTGATCTGTATTTATTTTAATAAATCTTACTATATGCATAGTGCACAACTGAGAATTATTATAACCTGGACAAAGTCACTTGTCTTATGTAGGAACTACAAAATGGAAATTGCAATTCATATGTAAAAAAAAGATCCTATTAAGAAATGTCAGTCGTCGTGAGACTGCCTGTTTCTGGAAAGGTGTTGGTATACTTAAAAACAATCTATCTGAATCAATTTTTGAGCCAATGACAAAATTTAAATACTGTCTATTATCTGCCTAGATACACCTGGTTTAATGAATATTTTTCCAAAGAATAAATTATGTACTGTCAGAATTATAGGAAAATTAATAACAGATTTTGAAAACATTATATGAACATATGTAACATTCATAATTATTGGGTGACAGACCCAATTGTTCATGGCATTTATACGCGCTTTACATAATCAGGGCTCCTACGGAATTAAGAATTTACTGTGCTTGAAATTTGGCTGAACATTTGGCGGGGGGGAAGCATACCTTTCCCCTAAGTTTCTGTAATACACATTTGCAAACAGTGCTTTGTAGATAAACTTCCAAGAAATTGGCTTTCACGTTTGCCTGCTGTGCATGGAACTGGGACATGGTTGGGTTTGCAAGATGAAACAAATGCTTATCAGTTCTCAAGCCAAGGTTTTAGTTAATGCCTTTCCATACCTTCCCAACCCCTCTACCCCCCAACTGCAGTTAAAGTTCAACCATTTAGGTTTTGAGTGCAGCACAGCGAGACTATGATTGATACCATCAGGCACTGAAACTGTGCTTTGCTATTGGTTTAGGCAGCCAGGCAAGAGGAGAGCAGTGCCAACTCTATTATAAAATCGCTGCCTGTTAGGATAATTCTGGGAGCTGCTAACTTAATGTAGCAGAGAAGGCAGATTCTCATGTTTACTTTCTATAGAATCAAGATGCCATGAGTCAGAGCCCATTGGCCCTTCTACTAAGAATCTTCCTCTATTAAAAGAACCTAATCTAAGTGTGTCCAGGTAGAATCTAGTGTACTGTAGCTCATTTGACCTTTAAAGACCTTGCTATTGAGTGGCTGACTGTTTCAGTTCCTCCAAAGAGGATTTAGTCTATTTCTTGTAGTACATAGCCGGTGGATCTGTCCTACTCAAGTGGCCCTTGTAAATATATACGTTCCATCAACCCAGCTCTTAGTTGTGATTGGAGCTGACAAAGGCCACAGTGAATATTGCATCCTGCCTGTCTGAGTGTGGTCCACTGTGTGTGAGGTATGGATAACTCACTGACCTGACTGTGAATCCTAATACCTTAGGAAATATGCCTGCATTGTTCTCTTCTGGCTTCTGTAGTGCTACGCAGGTGTTATGAGGGAGGGGAAAAAAACAGTCTGCATGGATTACAGTCACTACAGGAAGATTTCTCTATGAAATACATGGTCAAAAATATGGACAACTGCATAGCTCCCCAGAGTGATCACTGATTTGCTGACATAACGTTGTGTTTTATACATTCTAGCCAAGATAACCCCATTATCAGTAATAATAATAACAATAAAAGGAGTCAGGTGTTCCCAGGAAAGTTGCTTTTATTTGTTTGTTTGACCTAGAGATAGATCAGCATTTGATGAAGTTACTGTAATCTTTAGAGCACCATCATATTGCCTCTTTCTCCCCATGTAGCCTCTGACTTCTGTGATTATAGAACCGTAACTAGTGCATCCAAGCTAGTACCTAGCACGATCTCAGGAACATAGTAGGCATTTAAAAATATTGGTGTTGTGCATGAATGTTCTCTGTAGTTAGGGCATCTCCAGGAGCAGCAGAACAGCATTTTCTGTCTACTTTTACCCTGAAAGTTCAGGAGGAGAAACAGGCATGGCATGCTCTTAGTGGTCTTTACCACTCAGCTCCTCTGAATCACTTGACATTTGCATTTTTAGTCATTCTTTTTCTCTGTCATTCCGAAATAATTCACAAGCATTTATGGAGTCCATTGTCTCATCACGGTGTCTGCGAGGGTTTTGTTTCACACGTCTCCCAGGTTTGATGCTGTGTTCTGTGTTCTCACTGCCTCTGTACACAGCTCTCTCTGGAGAGCCTCGACCACCCTGCGGTGGTTATTACTGGATTCTCATCTGTCTTCCTCTTGGACTGCCCACTCACTCCGTGAGGCAAGGGTCTGGCTTTCTTCTCTGTCCGCAGTGTATAGTTGTGTTTGACCCATGGTGGGCTTGTGTTGATGTTTATAGGATGAATGAATAAGCAAATGAATAGAAAGAAAGAATGAATGAAGTGAATGTATCCATTGTTAGATCATCTCTAGGCACTTGTTTTCAGATGGTGGCTGGCAAAGAGGGTCTGTGGCACATTGCACAAGGTTGTCGTAACTAGCATGTCACTAAGACCTTTCATCTTAGCCTTATTATTGATGTGGTGCTTTACTGAGGTGTTTCTCATTATCAAGTAAGAGGTTCAAAAATAAAATTCAAAATGATCTTTATAGAAGATATAACACTAAAAATGAGATATCTGCTTGTATAAGTTATCAAAAGCCTACAGGCAATAGAGCTTGAAATGAATTAGATCAGTCCTGGTAGTAAAATCAAAGATTTGAATGGCCTTTAAAATGTAGCTCATGCCTGTAGCTCTTTGCTTTTGCAGGGCTGTTCTTTTTGATATTGCTGTGACACACAAGGTCAAGGGTTTGAGAGTGAATGAAAATTTCAGTGGGACCAAACTTGGGTCACATAGTGCATCGATGAAATGGTTTTTAGAATACATAACTGTACCGTTTAAGAACAATGAGTGATTTAAAGTTTTATGTTAAACAAAAATAATAAATGTGGTATAAATGAAAAAAAAAGCTTGGTTTTTCCCAGAGACCACTTCTAAATATTGATGTACTTACCACATAAATATAGGTAAATATAGGTGCTGCACCCATTCCTTTATTCCATGGTAAATCAACTGTAAATGATACACCCACGATGTAAAATAAGGATAAATTTAGTCATTTATGCTCCTTTTATTCCTTCCAACATTTTATGACAAATTATTATTTTTAGTTCTTCTGTTGGTCAATGCTATAATCTTTAGTAATTTATTGGAGCTTCCATTTTTTTTTTTTTGTATTCATGTTATTTCTGTTGTATCTCTTGATGCCCCTTGTTTTAAGATGAGAATGCCAGTGAGTTTACGACATTTCCTCCCTCCTATTTTATGTCTTACCTTCACTAGCTCTTCTTTTGCTTTTTCAGTAACCTGGAAGTATATTAGTATTTACATTCTGCCCTTCAGGAAAGGATTTTTAAAGTGATTTAAAGAAAAAGTTGAAAACCAAAGCCAAGAAGTGACTTGTCCTAGGTCTCTTAGCTTGTTAATGTTAGAGCTAGAACTAAAGCTTAGGGCTTTTAGGGGGCACCTGGCTGGCTCAGTTGGAGGAGCATGCAATTCTTGATCTCGGGATCATCAGTTCAAGCCCACACTGGGTGTAGAGATTACTAAAAATATTAAATAAACTTAAAAAAAATAAAAGTAAAAAATAAAACTTAGGGCCTTTGACTACCAATCTCTAGGGGGTTTTCTATGGATAAACTCACTAATTGATTCATTACATATTTATTGAACGCCTGCTCTCTGCTGCACACTACATTAGGTACCACTAATACAAAAACATAAGAAATGGTCTCAAATCTCAAAGTTAAGAGTCAGGTAGGAAAAACAGATATATAAACAAATCACTGTTTCAATGCAGTAGTGTGCAAGGGAAGATGCTACATAGTTTTGTTTTTGTTTTTGTTTTAACCCCAGGTCAGAGATATGAGAGAGTGATATAATTAGAAGTGACAGCTTTAATATGTTGCAGAGATAGTGTTTTACACATCTGATTTATGCATGTTTGAAAAATAAGTAAGACTTTGCTGATACACTTGAAGGAAAGTATTGTCTATTTCAAGATTTAATGTGAAAACAATTTTTATATATTTAAATTATAAATTATGTATTACATCAAGTTTTATGTGCTCAGCATGTTCTTATTTCAGAGTACCCAAATATTCTTAAGTTGTCCTTAGAAGATTGTGTAGTATTTTGATTCCAAGTCTAAGGCTTATGCATTTTTTAATAGACCCTTTTTATGGTGACTTGTGAACTTTTTCCTTTCTTTCTCCCACCCTCAGATTTTCATCACTGTGAATTGCCTGAGTACAGATTTCTCCTCCCAGAAAGGGGTGAAAGGACTTCCTTTGATGATTCAGATTGATACGTACAGTTATAATAATCGTAGCAATAAACCCATTCATAGAGCTTACTGCCAGATCAAGGTCTTCTGCGACAAAGTGAGTAAAGATCATAAAGGTATCTTTGTTATTAGATATTACTTTTAATGACATTTCCTCCTTATCACCTTCTCTTGTCTAGTGGTGTCAAATTAATCACCTTATAAGCACACTGGGAGTTGTAACCTTTCATTTTCAATTCCTATTAGATATCTAGGGAGTCATCAGTCAACTGTATTTTTTTTTTTTTTTAGTCAGTCATTTTACCACTAATTTAATGGCTGATTGACATTGCACTGTGCTACTCACGTAGGTAAGTTTTTACTGGGTATAAACCTGTCCCAGAGCATATCAGTATAACCTTTATTATTTTATGGGTTAAATGGGGTCGCATCCAGAGCTTTTTGGAATAGAAATGGCACCTATAAAATAAGTTCATTAGTCAACATGCACTCAGGAGGAGATATAGTTTTTTAATCTCTCTGAATCCCACCATAAGATGATAGAGCAAGTAGAATAGCAAAGCTTAAAATCCTGTGGTTATGTGACATGAGATCCTTACAAATCCCAAATATGAGTGGGAGTAAACAGCCAGTAGTTTTGAGACCTGTATGATATCAGCATCATGAGGGAAAGCAATGGGGCTACTTGATAACCGAAGAACAGGAAACCTAAAAAATTGCCCCAAGGTACTCACTAGAGAATGAAGTGTGCCATCTGAGGACAGCATGTGAAGCCAGGGTGGGAGGGTACAGATCCTCTAGATTCCAGTTTGCTATTGCTGGGAGATGCAAAGGGATGGAATATTGAAGTGTTTGGGGCTCTGAAAACTCTGGAAAGTTATAAAGTTCCCTTCTAGGGCAAAACTGGGCTCCAAGAAAAAGCTGTTGGGAGTAGAATCCAAGTTGAATTGGACTCCCTCCACTCCTCCAAAAAAAGGGGCAAAGGAAAGAGAAGTTCCCAATAAAAAGGACGAGGAGAAAGGATACAGAGTAGACAGATCTCAGGAAATACAGACTATTTTTTTTTATCACTTTGTGAACACATCAGAAAAGAGAGCATGAGAACCGTGAAGTCGGCAGAACTATCTTGGTCCACTCATTTCACTTAAAAATAACCATCAGAAAAGAAAAACAGTTGAATCCCATACAGTGTCTCATGAAAAAAGAGATTAAGAACAGCCTGAATTCCTTGGGGACAATGGGTACCTGCCCATGAAACAGATGATACCTATAACCTATTATTCCAAAATGAGCTAAATGAAATTAAGAAAATCATAGAAGTCATGAAGATCAATATAAATATAATTTTTCACATAGAAAAATTCGTGAGTTGTTTTGAAAAGAATTGTGATAGAATTCAAGAAAGAATTCAGAAATAAAAGATTAAAATATTTCAGAAGTAAAGACTACATTAGATGTAAAACAAGAATGAATAAATACACCAGGGAATGCCTTAAGAGAAATGATAAATCAGGAAAACTGAAAGTATAAACTATATATATAAATAAGTATATGTAGATTTAAACAGCCTACTACTTACTTGGGAAAATTAACCCAGGATAACCAATACCTGGTTGTTAACTTATGAAACTTTAAAAATATTCTTTGGGCATCTAAGTAAAATAGAATAGAACAGAATAGAACAGAATAGAATAAAAAAACCACTTGTAAAGAAACTTTTATCATCAGACTTTCAACAGCACTCTCAGAATAGAACAGAATAGAATAAAAAAACCACTTGTAAAGAAACTTTTATCATCAGACTTTCAACAGCACTCTCAGGGACAATTAGGTAGCCTCTCCAGTATGGGGGCCAGTTAAGTCAATAGACACAGCTGTTGTGTAAATGAGAAAACAGTGGGTCAGTTGCCAGAATCACACAGCAAAAAAGTAGGGGAGCTGGATGCAAATATACTATAGGGTTTGATTCCAAACCCATACTCCTTGAATTGATAAACAACTGTACACATAAAAAGCCAAAATGACAACTGATGATTCAAAACCTCAACAAAGAGCCAAGGTAGCCTTTAAAAACAAAAGAAAACATATAAAAATCAGTTAATATCTTTAAATCAGCATATTAAACATTAAAAAAGCATTTTCAGATGATGTACAACATGGAAATTCTAAAGTACAAATGGGACAGCATTTAAATAATTTGAATTGCCTCACTGTATTCCAAATACTTTAAGGGAGATTGTAGAATCCCCCTCCAGGAATCTCCTTCTTGGAAGTGGGGAGTGGGATTAGGGGCAAGGAGAAACAGAGGGAAGGATGAGATAGAGACTGGGCAGTCCATTTACCTTTACATTGCAGCTGGAATTGAATGTGGGAAAGAGCAGCCTTAAGGGATGCTCATATAATTATTTTTTTCAACAGTGTTGATATGACAAATACTAAAACTCAGAACAGAAGGAAAATGCAGGATGAATAGAGAGAGTGTTCCATTGTTGTTCACCTATGCCCTAGGACTCTAAGAAACTAGTGCTATACGGTGTTTCCAGGGGTTGGTTTTTCGTTTACTTATCCTGATGCTAAGGATAAGGAAGAAATCTCAAGCAGGGTGTATTAACCTTAACTGCTAGTCATTTTTCTAATAAGCTAGATACAAAATGTTGTGCTGTAATTTGCCATATTTGCAGCTCTTATTTCAAAACCCAGGCAAAACTTACTCCTGGGAGATTAAAAAGAGAAAAAGTTTAATTTTTCCACTTTTCAAATGGATGTATAAATGCAAATGATTATTTTGAATTCTCCTCTAAAGCAAAAGAACTAAGAGCTATTCCATTTTAAAATCATTACGTTTCCCAGTCACAATCAAGAATCTTAAACAGATGGAGTTCTGCACTATTTGTAGTTCTCCAGCTTTATTTATAATTAACACACCTGTGAGAATCAAATAAAGACTTACTCTGATTTTTTTTGATATTATGATATTACTATGGAAATACATGTTTTTGCATTAAAAAAAATTTGGGATCTGTCTATATATCTACCTGTGTTAATACCTATGTCTGTGTCTTTATATCTATATTTAATTACTTCCATTATCTTTCCTGAAAAACAAGAATTATAGTAGTATAAATAGTAAGTACATATTGAGCAAAACTTGAGAAATAAAGCCATGTTCTTTTTTTAATAATAGTTTTTTTCTCTTTATTAATTCTTGTTTGGAAAGTGATGGCTATTTGGAGGTGATGACTATTGAAGATTATGAAAAGCTAAAGATACCCCTGCAAACCATCTCGGTACCTTGGCCAACTTTCAACTGGTTATGGACACACTCTTAAAATAAATTTAAGAGAAATTATTGAAGTGTCAAATAAAGATAGCCATCACCTCTCAAGAGGTGGCAAGAGTGATCACAATATAATCAGGAAATCTTCAGGCATACTTTTTAAATCTAACACTCCAAAGTGAACATTTAGGTAGGGGAAATTATTTTCAAATGATAAATTTGGTCTTTGTAGCAAATTATACTGTTCTGGAAGAGCTAGACTTTTTTGCACTTTGATAAGAGTGGAAAGAAGATCTTTTCGAAGACTTAGGTCACAAATAATCAAAGGAAGTAAAGGAATTCATGGAAGGTCATGTTCAAGGAAGCTTTCTCCATCTTAATTAAATATATCTAAGCTTCCCTGGGGCATTATGAAGTCAAAGCTTTATTTTAGAAATAGGAACTGTGGTTCTCCTAGAAATGTTTGGATACTATCCAGACTTGTTTTGTCATGCTGATATCTGAGCATTCTGGGCAGGAAATTTCTTATATAGACATGGCACCAAGACTAGGCTCTGTGGGGAGCCACTCTAGCTTTTATGTTAATCTATTTGGTTTGGCATATCAGAGAATGCCTGTAAAATAATAAGCAGACTTTATTGCCCAAAAATTGACACTGAACATATATAAGTCTTGAAACAAATTAATTGCAGGCTTTTTCCTCAAAGTAATAATACAAAATAAGGCACCAATTTAGAAATAAATTAATTAATAGTTTAACCTGAAATAAAAACTGCTTGACAGTTTTAGAAATAAAACTGCTTGACAAACCTTGGCGTATATCTTCAGTGAGTTGTAATTTATATAGATAGAAAAAGTTTTACGTTTTTATTTATATTAAACAATATGTTGTACAGAACTCCAGGTACATAGAAAGATGTTTTATGGACTCAACAAAAAATGAATAATAGGAGACTTTTGCTTATATCTCACATCAATTTCAACAAGGCAATGTCTGTACATTTAACACTTTATTTTCTCAAAATATTGTATGTTATCTAGATACAAAACCTCTGCAAAACCTTAATATATCATGAAGAAACTTCCAAAGGGTATATTTCTATATTTTATCTCCCTCTTGCTCTGAATTTCCATGGTTTATAATTATCCATGACAGTTCAAAACTTATAAGTGAAGCACTATAAAATAATTACTCCCTTTGGGTAGTAAGAAGTTTTTTGACATAAAAACATATTTAAAATATCTGGTTAAACTATTAAATCTGTTCAGATCTTATCTATGTAAAGCTCTTAGAACTCACCTGGCACAGAGTAAGTGCTATGTAAATATTAGCTGTAATTACTCATTTTTCAAGAATTAGCTCTAATGCTATCTCCTTTTGATGCCTTCGTTGCCCACAAATCTCCACATCTCTTGTGTTGTGCATTTACTTTGGCCAGAATTGGGAATCTGCTTTTTTTTTTTTTTAAGCCAATTTAATAAACAAAACATGTATTTCATTGTTTTGATTCAAAGCTTTGTAAGTCTTTTTCTGTAAAGTGCCTATTTCATGACTCTTGTCCATTTTTTAAATTGGTGCATTAGTTGTCTTTTAAATTTGAATCATTATTTATATTAAGGATTTAGTACCTCATGATATTTTGTTGCAAATATTTTCACAATTTTGTCCTTTGCCTACTAATGGATTTTTTTTTTTGCATAACAGGATTAAATTTTTATATTTTTAAAATCTCTCTTTTTTGTGTGATGAGTTAGGGGCAATTTTTAATTAGAGGTTGCCAGCCAGTGTGTGCTTCACCACTCCTTAAGTATACTGTCACAAAGGGCAGGAACTGTAAATGTGTATCTGAAATCTAGGGCAGGAGTCTAGTCTGAGGTGTCTGTCTGGATGTCACCTGTCTAGAACATCATGGAAATAAGGGTGCAGGTGAACTCTTTGCAGCAAGAATGGAGAGAGAGAAAGGAAAAGAAAACCACTGGAACATATGTATTTGGGGGTTGGGAAGAGGAAAATGAGTTGGCAAAGCGGACACAGAAGAGTGACAATAATAATAATAATAATAATAATAATAATCAGGGAATCCTTGAAGGCCAAGAAGGAAAGAGATACAAGGTGATGGTCAATTGGTTAAGTAGAGTGTGATTTGGCAAGAGAAGCCAATGAAAAAGTCAGATTACCAGGAACAGAGGAGCAAAAAGGAAGTGAATAGACCAAACTTTTTTCTATTTGGTTGAACAAGTACCATCTCCAAGCACTTATGAACATATTAAAACGAAAACCAAAATCATACTTGTATGTGCAAAGCGATCATACATCTTTTGTAGTTTCCTTAGGCCCCCCCTCGTTTCCACTACTGTAATGATTTTTGAAAGTTCCATGACATCGAGCAAAGGAAAAGTTTTATAGGGAATTCAAATTCAACTTTAATGCTCTCTCGGTGCCTAGGAATGATGTTAACAGGCCAGTGCTTTATCTTAATGACATTTTATTATAATCGCTAAAGTTACTTAACCGGCCTCACTGGGATAGGAACCTGGGCCTGGTCTTTCTGTGTGGATTCAAAATTGAAGTTGTATAAATAGGCAGGATTTCAAAAAAAGGGGGAAATCTGGAAGAAGTGGGATCACTCGGAGGTTGAAATGTAATACAGACTAAGGATCTGTCTCAGCCTTCAGAACCGAGGCCTGACCTCCCTGGAGGCACAGAAATGGGGCTGCCTGCTCTCTCTTTACCCCTGGTTTGTTTCTTATCCTAGAGACTCGTATGTGGACACTGTTTTTGCATGCTCTGGTAACATAGCTGGCATTGTTTGTTTTTCCCTGGTAGGGAGCAGAAAGGAAAATCCGAGACGAAGAGAGGAAGCAGAACAGGAAGAAGGGGAAAGGCCAGGCCTCCCAAACCCCCTGCAACAACTGTGAGTGTTGCTAAGGAGGGGTGGGCTCTGGACAGGCCACGCCCACTAGGGGAACAGGTGGAAAGAAGTGGATGGTGGGTGAAACTATGGATATGTGAGGGGGTGGCTTGCTTTTCCCTAGCCTCGAAGACTGGGTGAATTGTCTCGGTGAAAAGCAAGTGGAATCACATGATCACAGATTCCTTGTGCTGGGAGGGACTGTAATATGGAGACCAACATCTTCCTCCTCCAGACGAGGAATCTAGGGTGCAGAGAGGGACGGGAGTGCACGAGGGGCTTCACCTCAAGAATGCTCACCCGAAGTTCACGCTCTTTCTGTTGGTTTGGCAGTGGGAGAGGGGGCGATTGTAAAGTGTGTTCACATCTGTGGCTTTTGGAAAGCTTCAGAGGAGAAAACAGGGAACTCAGACTAGGGCTCACAGCTGAGAGTTCTTAGTCATGCATAACCCTCTCACATCCAGCCTCTGATGGGAAGTTGGCGGCGATACCTTTACAGAAGAAGAGTGACATCACCTACTTCAAAACGATGCCTGACCTGCACTCACAGCCGGTCCTCTTCATACCTGATGTTCACTTTGCAAACCTGCAGAGGACGGGACAGGTAGGACCTACCTTCTAACATCCACCTGCCATCCCTCCCCAGGGCCGGTGGAGCTTTAAGACAGAATCACATCAGGCAGTGTTGACCTTGAAAATAACCTCTGCACTCCATGCATTCCGCGGAAAGCCAGTCATTCCATAACAAAACGGATTTTTATAGAAAGGAGTGTCTCAGGAGAGGAAACTGACTTAGTAAGGGGAAGAAGAGAGTGAGCTGGTAGTAGTGAAGTGTTGACAAAGCAATGAAAGAGGAAGAAAGTAAGGAGGCTGATAAACCCAGAGAATTTTTGTGTTGTTGGTTTGGTCATGTGGGATCAACCTGGTGCAATAGAGCTCCATCTAATGGTGGGAAATTGAACTGCACCTATAACTTCAGAAAGTTGCCCAAGAGGAAAACTTTTTGATTACATAAAACCGTATCAACAGTTTTTCCCCCTAGTAAGTTAACAGTTCCCATTGAATATGTAAATTATTCCACACCAAAAGAAAAATGAGATTGTAGACAAGCCTTTTTAAAAGTAATTCCTGTGTTCTAGTTACATCTACAAGCGAAATTAAAGAGCTAAAATTAAAATAACATGAATACCCAAATAATTAACTCATTATGGTAGCTCAAGTTGATGAAATATTAGGTGGTCACTAAAATTATAATTATGTAAATTATGTAGCAACATAGGAACTAGTTATGATAATGTTCAGTGCAAGAAAAAATTAGAATACCCATTTGTGTCTGTACCGTGATTCTAGATATATACCTGAACTTGAAGGTAACAAAAATTGTAACACTTGGTGTGTAGGATTAAATGATGGATGATTTTTTCTTTCTTTAATATTTTTAGTATTATTTATTTTTGTGATAAATTAAAATAGAGTAGAAAAAAAATGTACTTCCCTAGCATTAGCCAGATTTGTCTTTCACTAAATCAGTTGGGTTTTAGTGAAACTTGTATGGGTTAGTTTTCTTTTAAACTCAAAATCCTCTGAGGAAGAGTTTGTTTTGAGAAACAGAGGCATAGTTTTTCTCCCATTCTAAGTGTTCAGACACTCAGTGGAATTGACCTTAGTCAGGAGGGGAAATCGTTATTGGCTCTACTTGCTCCTTCTGAAGAATATACTGTCCCTCCCCGTGTTGTTTCATTATAGGTCTGAGACAGTTATACAAGCAGGGCTTCTTTGTTGCTGCTCATGACAGAACATGGTAACAAAATAGTATAGTTTTTTCTTAGAGTGCCTTCCACTAAAAACTAATTTAACAATCCCATCTTGTTTTACTTGTTCGATAGGAAAAAGGTCACAAAGGGGAAAGAAGATTGATCAAACTATGAGTGCCAGCACCTCATTTTATTTATTTTTTTAATTCCCAAGAGTATGGTGATTTGTTTATTTACAGTCTTAGCCCCATAGGATTTTATGAAGCTGGGTATCCATACTTTCCAGAAGAAGGGATAATTGAGTTAAATTGTTCTTTCTGTTTACCGTCATGATTCTGGCTTCAGCTCTGTGTCAAAGCTGACAGCCTGACCTGTTCTCTTGGCAACATTTCCCTGAAATATACAAAGCTGTAAATGAATCTTCAGAGGAAAAGTGACCAAGTCTGTGAGTCTTCTGGCCTCACTTGGCCTCTCCATGTTGGAACTGGGTTCCTAGCCTGTGGCCGAATCACAAGGGAAATATAGCCTGTACAGTCTTTTGGTTTTAGCAGTTGCAAAGCAGCTCAGTCAGTGCCCCTAGGTCATTGGCGAAGTTAAGTTCTGCAATCTGGGGCCACCCTTGCAGAGCCCTCAGGCTTCCCCTGTGGCCTTGGAGTCAAAGTTAGGGGGGTCAGTGAGGGAGGGAGCCTGCCTAAGCTCTGGGCAACAAAGGAACACAGTCAGCTGTGCTCTGGAACAGTGTGTGAATATTCTATGGTTGATCAACTTACTTGGCCCAAGAACAGGAGCACCTACAGTGTGGCTAGCTGGGACTTAGAGTCTGCCTTTTTTTGGAAGAGCTAGAAAGCAGGGAGATGGGTCCAGAGGCAGGAGGGAAGCCGGCAGTGCCATGATATTAGAAGTGGGTGTGGGGAGGTGGCTGATTTTGACATGCGAAACAGGATCCAGCCGTGGCGGGTCAAAATGTGGGCCAGTTGTACCATAAATGGGGCCCCGGGGAGGGGGAAAGGCAGGTGATGGTGCGCAGCTCAGTGACCACAGCAGACACAAGCCTTGTCAAAATCAGCTACATCAAAGCTCTGTTCCGGCTCTCAGGGTCAGTGAGAGACCCCCAGTCACATTGAGGGCTCAGGAGCTATGGCACAGTGATTCCTAGTCACCCAAGAACATGGGCTGGGGAGTGGGTATTTTCACTGACAGCCCACATGTTCCCTCCGCCTCTGTTACCGATTCACGTGTGGATTCATCAGACAATTATCAAAAACTAATATGAGTGAATGAACCCAATGTGCAGGCACTATGGAGATCTTAGTCTCCTTCTCTTCACATCAAATCCCAGATAGTCACTGGGGCTTTTCTCTGGAATGCCTTTAAAAACAAGTGATAGGGGATCTTGGGAGAAACTGTGAGATACAGAGGCATCATCTTTCTGATCAGACTGCCTCAAGGCACCTGACCCCAAGGAGGACTTTGCTCTTCCCTCATAGCCTCGAAGCTGTCTTCCCCATTGTGGTTTGTAAACTGCCTTCCCCCAAAGAATTCAGGTTCCCAAGTTCCATTCCAAGTCTTTTAAATCAGAATCTCTGAAGAGGGTTCCATATTTTTTATGCACTCTATAAAGTTTGAGAAATACTCTCTAAACATTAAATCCATGCAATAATACCTACAGCCAACAAGGAAGAAACAGTGGGTCATTGTGAGAGAAGTGACCAGTGCAAGGACAGGGATAGGGACAGTGTAGTAGAGGCCATTTAGGAGGGCAGGAAAACACTTAAGAGAAGGCTGCTTCATTTTGGGGTCACCAGTCAACTTTGCAGAGAGCCCTCCGTGACCCTGTCATATAGTCAGGGCAGATGCATTATGCCACATTTAAAGAAGCTAGCAAAAAACAGGCCAACATCAGGAACTTTTTCCCAAAAATCCAGTTCTGTGGCCACTGCTACGGCCCAGGCTCCCTCACTTATGTGGGTCACTCCATATGCACCTAAATAGTCCCACTTCTAGAATATCGCCGTGGTGGATGCTCCAGTGCCACATTGAAACCTGGGATATGGTGGAAGAAAACATCTTGCCTGTGCTGTTTTCTGTTAAAAAGAAACGAAGTATACAACAGTAGACATAAAAAGTTTTAAGAGGATAAGTTCCCTGTGGAAATCTTGCTAATGACTAGAATGGCTGACGCCCAAAGAGTCCCCGGGAACCGGCTCTGTTATACCGTGAAGTCTGGGTGTGACAGCATTCCAGGCATTGCCAGGAGCCTTTGAGAAGGTTTGTAAGGCGGGTGTCAGTCTAGGCAGAGCTTTTCTCCTGGGCAACTGGGGCAGGGACAGTGACGAAGTATACTAGCACCAGAAGTGACTGCTGAAGTTAAAACGTAAATGTCTGATGCTAACTTGGGTCCTGTCCTTCACCCAAGTAAAAATGGTCCTGAAGCACATGGATAAAGCTCAGGAAAGGCCTGCAATTAATTTTTATAAATAACTGGGTCAAGAGGACCTACATGCATATAAGATCCCCTATGGATTTCTGTAGTTTCATAAAATAATAGGGATGCTTCATAATTTCCTTAAACCTGATTCTGCCTGCCACCATGCTGACCACCTAAAGAAATCTGTTCTCAGAGGTCTTCTGGCCTGGAGCACCTCCTAGAGCTGCATGACCTTTTCCCAGCCTGAAGACAGTCGACTCTAAATGTTTGTGGCTGTGGGATGCCAGAATAACCCAGGCCCTTTCGGGGAACAGACGGGGGCCTGGGGTCGCTGCTGCACTGCCTTGGGACTCTCTTGCTCCCCTCCCTTCGCCAGAGCACATTATCTGTGGTCAGCTCACCTGTGGACCCGATGGGATTGGATACTCACACGCCTTGCTCCAGAGCCTTTCTAAACAATGATTTGTAGGTCCTGCTAAAATATTTCTTTAATGTCAAGGCAAGAGCTGGTTTAGTAGGTAATCTGATCAGAATGATTTCCAGTTTTACTTCCTTAAAATCCAAGAATTAACCCTAGGAAGAATATAATGTAAAATTTGTATTTCCTTGGACACACACACACAGCATCATTAAACAGATCTGCCTTTTGTCTTCTTTAAGACAGTGTAAGAGCCTAGGAAAGTCAGTGCATCACGTAATCTATTTCCATTTCTTGGTCTAACCCACAGTAAGCCTGTTGTTTTGTTCCACAGGTGTATTACAACACGGATGATGAACGAGAAGGGTAAGACACTCAGTTCTTTCTCTTTACATCCAAAGTCAGTTCATGTCAGTAGAAATGGCTGTTGGAGCACAGGATAACCATGGACTTAGAGCTGAGAAATGAGAAAGGCTTGACTCTGGGGCTGTCTGAGAGGAAGTTTGGGGAAATGCTGTTCTCCTTCCACCCCTTCTTTATCTCTCTCCTTTCTGTGATCTGCCTTTGAATAACTAGCTATTTTTCTAAGTGACACATCGCTTCAAGATTCTGCCTTTTCACCAATAATCCAGTGACTGAAATCTCTGGCCCCAACACAGGGTCAAGGTGAGCTTGAGGTGGGAGCCAGGGAGACAGCCTGCCCTGCTTAGTTAGTAGTGCTCGGGTCACCCATGTGGACCTCTTGAAGCCCTCACTCTGGGAAATGGGCCCAAGGCTAGTGGTGAGGCTGGTGAGAATGAAGCTAGGGAGGCTGAGAACCTAGTCACTGTCCTTGGGATTGTAGGTAAGAGAGGGTTTACATGGGGTCACTAGGGCTCCCAAGTGTCTTGCACATCAAGTTTCTGCATGGTGCTTTCTGTGCATTTACTCATTTTATGCACTCCTGGAATTTTAGAGACAAAAAGGAATCTTCAAGGTCATTTAGCTGACTCTCTCTTTTAAGCAGTTTAACAGTACACCACATGTTTGATAGGTAGTCAGGCAGCTTCTACTTGAACACTCTCACTGTATGTAAGCTAACTCATGACACCATTGGACAGTTGCAGCTCTCAGAAAGTTAGCTTATTGAATTGATGTCTACCTTCTTTTGACTTTCACCCATTGGCTCTAGTTCTGCTCTTTAGATAAGCCCCATCCATTCCTCCTCATTCAAACACAGTTTTACCTTTCAGTATCTCCACTCCAGGGGATACCACCAAATTTTTAATAGTTTGTTTCCCTAGAATTGGCTCTCAGAAATAAATATCTGTTCTCAACCATATGAGCTGGAGATTATATTGGGATAATTTCTTCTTGTGACCTGGACCCTTTTTTCTCTTAAAGCAACCTAGAACTACATTCATTTTTCTTTTCTTTTTTTTAAGATTTCATTTATTTTTGAGAGAGAGCGTGTGCATGAGAGAGAGAGAGAGAGCACACACAAGCAGGGGAGAGGGGTAGAGGGAGAGGGAGAAGCAGACTCCCTGCTGAGCAGGGAGCCCGATGTGGGGCTTGATCCCAGGACCCTGAGATCATGACCTGAGCCGAAGGCGGACGCTTAACCAACTGAGCCACCCAGGCGCCCCTCATTTTTCAATATCTATGTTACGTTACATATATACCACTAAAATCTTGGTTTGCATTATATCTGTATAACTAAAATCTCTAGATAGTTTTTTTCAGACTATAGTCAAACTGGGGCTTCCCTATGCTTATGCAATTAATATATTTATTTATAAAACATTTCAAGGTGATGTAAGTGGAGCAGATATTGCTGAGTTCATTTCCTAGAGCAGAGTTTGGTAAACTACAGCCAGAGGGCCAAGTCAACCCATCACCTGTCTTTGAACAGTCCATAAACGTTTTTGTTTTTTTTTTTCTTTTTAAAGTAGGCTCCATGCCTAGCGTGGAGCCCAGTGCAGGGCTTGAATTCATGACCCTGAGATCAAGACCTGAGCTGAGATCAAGAGTTGGACGCTTAACCAGTTGAGCCACCCAGGCGCCCCTGTCTCTAAACATTTTTAAATGGTCAAAAAAAAAAGAAAAATCCAAAAGAAGAATAATATTGTGTGACAAGTGAAAATTAAATGAGATTCAAGTGTCCATAAAGTTTAATTGGAACACAGACATGTTAATTCCCTTATGTCTTATCTGTGGCTGCCTTCCTGCCCCAGGAGCAGAGCTGAGTAGTTATAACAGAGACCCGTGTAGGCTGGAAAGCCAAAATATTTACTAATCTGACCCTTTACATAAGAAAAATGTGCCACCCTCTGGTCTAAGGGTAGAGAATTAGGTGCAGAACCTTGCCCAGGATCTGACCTCTAAATTCAGAGTTCTGAGTTTTCTAAATACCTAATTAGATTGTTCTTTTTATGTTGGCACATAGGTAATAGATTCCCAGTGGCTGGAAGGAGCAGAAAGATTAGCACTATCGATTCTAATCTGTTACTCACATATTTTGCCAGGGACCGTGTGGCGTCACGGGAAGAACAGGGACTCTGAGCTTAGGAAGCCCACGTTCTGCCCCAAGGCCATTGCTTACCAGTGTGAGGCCTTGGGCTGGCTCCTTGACCTCTGGCCTTCGGTTTCCTCAGCTGTAAAATGAGGATTTTGGATGAGGTGATCTTCGAGGTCTCATGTAGCACTAACATTCTACTCTTCCCTTCTCTGGGAGAAGTTAGCCTCATAAGGGAGAAGTGCCTGAGACCCGAGTGCTGCTTCATGTGCAGACCTCCCTTGGCAACCAACCTCAGCCTACACTGTCCTTCCTAGCAAGCTGGCAACGTTTAGGTGGCCAGGTGACCTATTTCTAACTCGTGTGGCTTGGCCTCTCTGTAAGAATTACCCTCTGTTCTTGCATAATCATGAGGCCCGAGGCCCGAGTCTCTGTCTCTCCTACATCTAATTCAACTTCAGTTGAGCACGTGGGTGGCCTTGGAGCCTCAGTGTTAATACACGGTTGGTACTTGGCTATTGTTATGTGTGAAAGTAATAATTAGCATTCACTGGATATCTTGGCTAGGCACAGGACTAGGTAGGCTTTCTGTGTTGTGTTGAATTCTCCCAAAATTCCCATGGGGAAGATGCTGTAATTGCATCCACTTTATAAAGAGCAGTGGAACGTTGGACGGGACAGTGTTCTAAGTCACACGGCTGGTGGTGATAGCGACAGGATCGGAGCCCGGCCTAGCGGCACTCCCCACATCCCACTTTAGCCATCATGCCCTGGCACCTCATTCTCTTCATTCTTGATCTGTGGCTGCCAGTGCGGCAGAGACGGGCCCCCGTCGTGATAGCTTTCTGACCTTGACAAAGGCACATCCTTGGCTCAGCCTCTTGAGTGCGGGACCCAGATTGTGACAAGCCCGGAGGGGTGTACCTGGCTGAGGGGGTCAGGGCAGAGTCCTGAGGGGTGTGCCACCTTCCTTGGCGTTCACATGGCCTCCATCAGGACTGTCTCTGGCCAGTTCGTCACTCCCTGCCTGGCAGAATCAGTTAGTATGAAAGCATCTGGTTAAGCGCCGGAGAGCAGCATTCACTGAACCAGCAGCCGGAGGAGGCGCAGCAGAGGCACTCCACTCCCTCCGCCCGCAACTCCGAGGCCAACGTGGTGGTCGGACACAGACTTGTTCACAAGTACAGCCTGCTGGCCTCAAGTGCCGGCCAACCCGAGTGTGATTCAGGAGGGAAAGTAGAGGAAATGCAGATGAGGTGGGATGGGGAGCCATCATCAGCCAAGTGCCTAAATGGAACAAAAAGGGGAACACCTGTTTGCTCCTGCCTCTTTGATGATAAAGTGAGTATTGGGGGTGACTTCGGGTGCTGAGTTTGGGCATCGACAGACCCGCGCAGGTTTGTTTCATAGGCAGGGGATCCAAGTTAGATACAGAGGCTTTGGACGCCCCTTCTCAGCAGCAGGCCTCTTGCTGCAATTTGGAATCACCTGGGGAATTGAAAAATAACTCACATACAGGTAGCACCCCCATGGCTTTTGATTTAATTGGCATGGGATGCAGTGTAGGTACGGAGACCTTTTTAAAGTCCCCAGGTGATTCTAAAGCTCAGCAGTGTTTGAGAACCACTGCTTTGGAGCCAGGCGCCATGATTTGAATCAGGCCTTTACAAGCTCTGTAACTTTATAACAACTTTTTGGAGTCTCATCTAAAAATAGCAAATAATAATACCTACCTGATAGAGTTATAAGCATTAGTATGCCAAATGTCCTGGCATGTGGAAGGTGCTTTCAAAAAAAAAAAATCATAGCTGTAATTATTGTCGTTAAGGTTCCTTTACTGTCCTTCAGTAAATGATACTTAATTGAGAAATGGAAGAGAGGGAGAGGAAGAAGGATGGAAAGAACAAGCCAGAGAGGAAGAATTTTCTGTGGAATATGGGCCCTTAACAAGGGATTCATGAATGGCTCTTATGGGGAAGAGGGAAGGGCTTTAAACTCCTTGAAATCATATGTAAGTTGCTATGCAAATGTCACATATGGTGGGAAATGCTATTCTGTTCCATTACTTCAGGGGATCTGGTCTTCATCCCCATCTGACCTCTAGTTCCTAGAAAACCCTTCTTGCCTTAATCTCTTGTCCACGGTCACCCCATGGTGGTGCCCCCATTCCAGCCTGCAGTGAGGTCCCTTCAAGTTCAGCAGCTCTGTAGCTTTCACACTGCATTTGGGGCACAGGGATCCTTGGCAAGTTCGGCAGTCCTGTGTGTGGAGGACAGTGGTATCCCTCCAAGAATCTGCCATCACCATGGTGCTGCCGGGGATCCTCAGACCACAATCCTCTCCAAAAATTTCTCTTATCCCCTTGCTTCTTCTCAAAGGCACACCATCTTGGGGCCGCATTGTATTATCTCCTCAAAAGCTGAAACTTTAGGAAAACAAAAGCCAGGAGAAGGTAAAGGTTGGGCAGGGCAACCCTGTGGATTGGTCCCATACCAGCTCAGAGAGACAGCTCCCCAGAGTGACTTCACTGGTCATGCTGAGTGACGCCAGCAGAGGGCCCTCCCATTCCTCTTGCAGGAGGGAGAGTCCCATAGGTGTTGCCAGACCAAACCATGAGCTTGGTTACAGTGTTGCTGAGGAAAAGAGCCAGTTCTGGTGCTCATCTACCATGGAAGCCAACACTTTGGCTCAAATTCAATACCCTTTGGAGAAGTTAGAGATTACTAACCAATCACCAGTGAGTGCATTTAATCAACATGATACTAAATCTAAAAAGTCATCACCCTGTGTTCATCAGCACAAAATAAATATCTTCTAGAATTCTGCACTACTTCTTTCAAAGGAGCACTTTACAGAGCTCCAGATACTTTTC